TCCTCCTCCTCCTCCTCGCAGCCACCGAGGGAGGCTGAAAAGAGAGGGAGGGGAAGGGGGCCAAAGCTTGCCCCCCCCCGGCGCATCAAGGGCCAGCGGGGTGGGGGTGGGGTCGGCATCCTCCATCCCTCAAGGCCCCCCAACGGGCTATCTGACCCTCCGGCCGGCCGGCCCTGCCTCTTCCCGCCCCAGGACTCCGAGACCTGGTCTCCATGACCCTCTTCTACAGCACAGTACTATAGGCTTCCTCTGGATCGAGTCCCCTCTTGATTCCTTTCTGCGCCTTCTGGCTTGCTTTTGAGCCCAAAGGAGGGCGGCCGCTTTTCCGACCCTTCCAGGAAACACAGCCAGGAGCCGCAGATGGATGGGACCAGGGTTTTCTCCCCCACCCCATCCGGATAATCTGCTTTATTTTCAAAACTGGTCACGTGAGAATCACGCTGGGGGGGTTGTTTCCTGGTAGGGTTCAGTGGAGATGGGCTGACCCAGATCTCTCCCTGTGTGACACACATGTGTGTGGCCGGCCCTGTGTGCATGTGCTGGAGAAGGAAGAGAAGGCCTTTATGTTTTGGGCAAGGCTTCTCTCTGGAGGCTTCCCCCTCCCTGCCTGGCGCTTCCCTTCCCCAGGGGCATCGCTGGCCCACCCACCCCCACCCCACCCCATGGGCAGAGCAAAAGCAGGCTGCTGCCCCGTGTTGAGGTGGGGGCTAGAAATGGCCTGCTGAAGGGCTGATGCAGGAGAGGAATTGCGGGAGGGGGGAGCCAGGGGGAGGCCCCCAGGACCCTCTGCTGGGATGGAGGCTCTCCGGCAGAGAATGGCCGGGCCCTCCCCCCAAGGCAAGCAAGGGCAACGCGGGCGGGGGGGGGGAGGGAGAGAGAGCGAGACTTCCATCTTCTCCGTTTTTGCTATTATTTATTCTCTCTCGCTTGCTTTTCTGATGGAGGGGAGAACCTCTCATGGTGCCCCAGTTGCTGGGAGGCAGGCAGGGACTCTGGGGGGGGGGAACGGGACACACACACACGCCAAGTGAGCTGTTTGTTGTTCTCTGAGTCTAGATTCCCCAAGGGGTCTGATTTGTCTTAACGAGTCCGTTATGGAATTAAGGGCTTTGCTTATGGAAGGCACAGATGTGATTCTCTGCTGAGCCTGGGGGTCATGGGGTCAAGCGCTGTCTTCTGATTTCCTGGGCGCACGCGCACGTGTGTGGTGGTTGTTGTTTAACTAGTAGGCAGACAAAGGTGGTGTGAACCCTGCACACCTTAGTGAGTGAGGAAGACTAGGTGTGCCACCTTTGGCGGGGGGGGGGGACAGCTGCTTTCACACTTTCCGTCTTCGGGGGGGGGGCTTCTGCAGGGCTAGCCCGGCCCAGCCGGCGACAGCCTTTCCCCCTGCTTGTGCTAAAGGGGTCTACTTTAAAAAAAACCCCTCTTGCGTCGCCTGGGCTGTTTGGATGGGCCACCAGCTCATTGGGCCATCAGTCAAGAGAGTGCCCTGGGACCCTCCTGTGCGTGGGGGGGGGAGACGAAGGGCCACCAAAGCACAGCTCCCTGACGCCCATTTCTTTGGCTTTGCTTTCACACCGACCCAACGCCCGCGGCTGGCGAGACTCCCGGGTCCTCTTTCTTTCTGCCTAGGGCTCAGCCGCGGAAGGGAAGTGAACCTGCCCCCGGGACCCCTGCACCGCGTGGAAGGCTCATCCGTCTCGATCCCTTGCAACGTCTCGGAGTACGAGGGCCCCACCCTCCAGCACTTCGAGTGGTTCGTGTACCGCCCTTCGGCCCCCGACATCGCCATCGGAGTGGTCAGCACCCGGGACCCCAAGTTCCCCTACGCCGTCTTCGGGCCCCGGGTGCAGGCGGGGAACGTCTCCATCCATCGGGTGCAGGGCGACGCCGTGGAGCTGCGGATCCAGCGGCTGCGCGTGGAGGACGGGGGCGTCTATGAGTGCTACACCCCCACCACCGATTCCAAGTACCACGGCAGCTACAGCGGCAAGGTGGAGCTGAGAGGTGGGCCTGCCCTCCTGGTGGCCGTGGGGAGGGGCTCCCAGGCAAGGGTGAGCCGGCACCGGAGCGGGGGGGGGGACACCCTCCGGGGTCGTTTTTCTGCCCCTGTGGTCCTCCAAAGGGACTGGCCTCCCTACCAAGGAAAACCCCATTTAGGGGAAACCCCGTTTTTGTTTGTTTACCTAAAAGAAGACATCAGAGGACTCGCTTTTCCTTTTAGAGGATTGCGCTCCCTAGAGTCATGATGCTTCCCCCCCCTTTTTTTAAAATTTCTAAAGGCAAGTTTAGAGACTTAGGGCTGAGATCTGTTGAAGGCTGGCTTCCAAAACCCTTTCCTTTCTCCTTTCTGCCCGATAGTGATCCCCAACAAGCTCTCTGTGTCGGCTTCTCCTCCTCCTCACCAGGTGAGGATCCCTTTACGGGCCCGAGGGCCCGTTTCTGTCTTCCCACCCTGGGTCACCCTCATGGAGAGCCAGGACCTGCAGCTGACCTGCGTGGCATCCAGCGAGACCCAGCAGCACACCCACCTCTCCGTTTCCTTTGGCTTGTCGGCTTCCGAGGACCGCCAGACGCTGCAGGAGGTGATTGGGACACGGAGAGATTTCACCGTGGAGGCCGGCGGGCGTTTCACCGAGCGGCTCAGAGCCCAGGAGTTGTCGCTGGCCAAGCTGGGTGACCGGGAGTATCGGATGGCCCTGGGGTGGCTGAGGCCGGAAGACAGCGGGACGTATTACTGCACGGTGGGCGAGTGGATCCAGGATCCAGATGGCAGCTGGCAGCAGATCACAGAGAAGCAGGTGCTGCTGGCCCAGGTCTCCGTCCAGACCCTCGGTGAGTGAGTCTTGTGCGTTGGGAGACACACCTGCGGTGGCTTGGGGAGGCCGCTGCCTCTTCGTCCTTTTGATAGGTTTATCCCTCCTCTCTCACCCCCACGGAGCCCAAGGTGGCTCTGCTCGCCTCCCCTTTCTTCCCACTGTCCTGCGGTGAACCAAGAACTGGGGGTCCTTCGCCCTGACCCAGCCCTCCGACCTCGCTGTTCTGGCCTAAGGCTTCTTTTGCCACCACAGACACGCACATATACAGGAAGCTGTAGAGGAAATCGTTCCCTAAAATAGCTTCCCTCCAGCCATTCCTGCTCAGGGTGTAACCGCTGGCCATCTTGGCTTTCTGGGTCTCTCTAGCAGGTGCCGCCTCTGCACAGCTCCTGCTTGGCTGGGCCCCTTCCTCTTTCCACCCTTGCCAAGGAGGAAGGCTCCTGCCAGCCCCTGCTGGTCCTATATCCTCTTGCCAGCCTTACGTTGTGCAGGTTTCCCAGCACTATCCCACACCCCGCCCCAATTTATATCAAAGGTATCCACTGCCTCTCTGCAGCCCACCTCCGCCTGTCTGTCTGTCTGTCTGTGCCTCCTTCTTTCTCTGAAAATGGCTCGGGAAGCTCTTTCGACCTGTAGAGTTGGGTTCAATTTTAGGGATGTTCTCAGAGGCCATCTTCCATGGGGGGTGGTAAGAGCGAAGGCAGGAAGGGACCCCCCCCCAAAAAAAAACCACTTGCTTATCGTAGTCTCTGGAGTTCCTTTCATCAGAGGAATGACTTCACGTGTTCAACGTTTGCCCCCCCTAAAAAAAAAACACTTGCTTATCGTAGCCTCTGGAGTTCCTTTCATCAGTTGTTAACCTTTAGAGGAATGACTTCACGTGTTCAACGTTTGAGAACTGGGGACGGGGCCGAATCCCTACAAGGGCTGGGACGGGCTCCCCCTTGCGGCGGTGCCTGAGGAGAAGGAACCTGGACTCTCTGGGGAAGCCCAAGAGGGACAGATCGGGATCCCGGTGGGATCTGCCCTCGTGGGAGACACGGCCGTCTTGTCTTTCACTGCCTGGAATGGCCCCCAGCATGAGAGGCCCTCGGAGCGCTGTGCGTGGCGAGCCAGGGACGCCGCTGGGGCGGGGGAATCTGTGAGAGGGCGGGTGGTGGGCTGAGCCCCGGGGGCCTCCGCTTGCTTGCGCTCGCCCTGAGCCCCTTCAACCTCTTCGTGTGTGCTCTGTTGTCTTTCCAGCTAGCCAGCTGGCTGTCTCCGCCAGTCCCGCTAAAGTCGGCATCGCCTCCGGAGAAGCCCTGGAGCTCTTCTGCAAGGCCCCCGGGGTCCGGGCGGCCCCCTTGCCTCACGCTGCCTATTCGGTCGCCTGGGAAAGGAGCCGGGACGTCGCTGAGGAAGGCCGCCTGGTGGCCCAGCTGGACCTGGACGGAACCGTCCTCCTCGGGGAGAGCTACGCCAACCGCGACGTGGGCGACCGGCACGTCTCCCTGCAGAAGCTGGCCTCCCCGCCGGACTCCTACCGGCTGCGCATAGAGTCGGCCCAGCCGGGGGATGCGGGCGCTTATCGCTGCGTGGTGCGGGCGTTTGTGCGTTCTCCGAGCTCGGAGTTGCACGAAGTGGCCAGCGGCCGGTCTGAGGCGTTGACGGTGGACATGAAATCGGAGGGTGTGTCCTTTGGGGCAAGGCTGTTGTGTTGGACTCCTCTTGTGTGCAAGGTGTCGTGTGGGGTGTGAAGGAAGCAGAGGAGGAGACTCAGGCCCCCTGCTCAGTTTGTGCCGCTGGGCCTCTTGGCCGCCTCTCCCGGGTGGGTGGGTGGTTGGAGGTCCCCGAGAAGGCCACGTTTCTGGCAGAGGGCGGGGGCTCTCTGGTCTTCCCACGAGAGGCCTTGGTTGGTGGTGAGTGGAGCAAATGTCGGTCCAGCTCCTCCCGGGATGGATGGATCGCTTGCTCATCCCAGAAGGAGACGTCACCAGAGAGGCAGGCCTCAGGAGACACGTTTGCCAATCAAGCCTGGGCTTGCCTTCTGAAGTCCTTTAGGGTGAGAGCCCTTCGCGAGGGAAATGGCATGCACAGTGACATGCAGATGTCTTTCTCCCCTGGAGGGAGCACTCCTTCCCTCTTCTAGAACCACAGTCAGCCTCTAATCCACTTTGGTCCCATATCTCTCAGAGAGTCTAGATGGCTGTAATCAAGGTTCGAGCCGGGATCCCCCATCCGCTGGTAGCTCCTTAAAAGAAGGCCCTTGTTTTCTCTAGGATCAGAATTCCCAGGATATCCCATGGGGGGGAGGAGGAAAAAGGTTTTCCATTTTTTTTCTCCATAAATTTCCTACATGGGAGTGATATATGGAGGCACAAATCTTGACAGGATTTTTTTTCTCCCAAGGCAGGAAGTCAAGGAAGTCTTTTGATCTCCCGTTCTGCTCCCTGGCAGGGGCTGCCTCTGTCGGTCTGTCTGTCTGTCTGTCTGTGGGGGGGGAGAAGAGATTTGCCGGGACCCCCTTCTCCCATCTCCCTTTTTCTCTGCAGCCGTGGTCCTCGATGCCCGGGCGTGGCTTCCCTTTCCAACCATCTACCGTGGCGACATGGCCGAAGTGCTCTGCAACGTCTCCGTGGATTCCGTCCAGCCTGTTCACCTGGCGCTCAGCTGGTGGGCAGAGATGCCCCAGGAGGGTTTGGAGAGACGCGGTGCCCTGTTGGCCACCGTCAGCCGCGAGGGCGTGGCAGACCTCGGGACCCGGCTGTCGGGAGGCGCCGTGAGCGTGGACAAGGTTGGGCCGCTGAGCCACCGGTTGCGCATCCACGGAGTGCAGCCGTCGGACGAGGGGCAGTACCACTGCGCGGTGACGGCCTGGGTGCGCTATCCCGATGGCAGCTGGTACCAGGCTGGATCCGTGAAGTCCAACGTGGTCACCGTGTACCCGTACGCCCTGCGTGAGTAGCGCCCGCGTGAGGAGGGCTCGAAGGGGGGAAGGGTAGCCAGAGTGGCCGAGGGCAAGCGTCTCCTCCCAGGGGCGTCTGGTCTCAAACTGGGCAGGGTGGCGGGAAGAGCCCACAGTGGGAGCTGAAAGGGAAAGGGGGGGGACGGTCCCGCGTCTTCCCAGGATGGCTGGAAGCAGAGAAGGAAACCCCGTGTGGCTCTCCTCCACTGGCCGGTGAGTCTTTTGCCTTTGGGGAGGGGCGTCCTTGGTTTTGTGGTCCTTGTGACACCCCCCCTCTCTTTCCTTCCCCCCCCCCCCCCCCATCCTGGACACCTTGTTCCTCCCGCTCGTGGTGGGTGCCTCCAGCGCCCTCTTCGTGGCCGTCACCATCCTGGCCACGGTCACCTGTTGCTTCATGAAGAGGCTGCGCAAGAGGT